AGAAATGACATGAGTACATGAACATATAAAATATAAGAATAATGCCCATAGTATACGATATGAGAGCTATAGGTGTAATTGGCATGCCAAGAGTCGAGGGTATAATAGTCCTTCGGGACGTAGTCCTTCGGGATGTAGTGGTCCTACGGGACATATATGACAGTCCTTCAGGACGAATACTGAACTAAGGTTTGGTGCCCCATGAGGGAATTGATACGAGCTGTGGTGACAGCATTAGTGCACAACCTCAATGCACTCACATACCTCTATTCTCAATAATATACATGGGCAATTGAAATACAAAGTAAAGTGAAAGTGGTACAAGAATGTAAGTTTTGTACATACATGATATGATTATATATGTTATTGTGTAGTAGATACATGCATGTTGAAATGTCATGAAGGAAATGGTAAGAATGCATATTCATGAAGATATTGTGCATATTCATTTATTGCCTCACTAAGTCTATGACTTAGCGTGTAAGTGATTTACACGTAGGTACCAAGAAATAAGAAGATTCAAAATAGCAGTGGCACGGACAACAACATTACTAAGAAATCAGATCAGAAGTAATTGACAAAGTAGGTATTTTGTTGTGTATAAAGTGTTGGTATGTAATAAGTGGTTAATTACGAATGCTTTGATCGATTTTGTATTAAGTGGTCTCTTTTATGTAAATTAAAGTATTTTGTTTTAATGAAAGTTTTAAATTCCTGGGATTTTTCTTTAAGAATCAAAGTTTGAAAAGTCAATGTGACATCTCGGACTTGTATTCGGGTCGAATATGAGTTAGGGGTGTTACAAATGCTGTCACCACAGCTCGTATAAATGCACCGAAGTGCCACGTAGAATTGCACCGTAGTGTCGCGGAGAAATGCACCGAAGTGCCATATAAGATTGTCCCTAAGGACCACGTAGAAAATTCCTTAAGAATCATATACATATGCCAAGGATCAAGTATGTGTCTCAAAAGACCTCACACATGTTCCAAAGAATATATATATGTCTCGAAGGACCGCGTAGACCCTCGACTCTTGGCATGCCAACTATACCTCTAGCTCTCATGTCACATAACATGGGCATTAATATTTATGTTATCACACATTCACATATACACGTAGTCTCATAGTTCTTTCACATAGCTCACTGTCATATAAATCACATATCACAGATATGTATAGACACATAGTTCACTTACACGTAGAACATTTTCATATGATTCACATATCACATAGATTCTTATTGCATATTTTATATTATATTCTTATACCACTAATTCATAATATAATTTAGGTCAATGTTGATTAACTTATTTTACTCTTTCACTTATTCATATAATTTCATTACACCACTTTCTATAATTTATTACAACATCATGTACTCCTTTTTCTATAATTGATACATTAATGCCATATAATTTATATTTCTAATTCCTATAACATCCTCATATGATTTCAAGTACTTTGGTACTATACTTCATATCATATAAAAATCTAACAGTTTTAGATCATAGTTTCATTTAACATATCGACCTTCCCATATTACTTATCTAACATATTCATATACTCATATCACATAATAATTTCACCTGACTATATCTTATGTTCATTTCATTCTTACATCACATAATATCTAAGTCTCCTTTATATAGTTTACACTACATATTCATAGGATCTTATTTGAATCTTATAGGTAATTGCTAGTTATCTTATCTCATTTCCCTTTTATCAGTTTACATGATTTATTACACTAACCTTTTCAATAACACATGACTTATATCATTTATCTCATAATATTTAAATACTAGTTTACTCTATTTATTTAATTCAGTTTCATATAACACCTATAATCTTTCTCATAGGGATTTTATAGTTCTTCATTCGATAATTCCTATATCATAATTTCCTTTAAGTATACACTTCAGGTTCGTATTATGTTCATGTCCCCTAATTATATATATATATATATATATATATATATATATATATATATATATATATATTATTATTTCCTAGAGTCATCTAATTTATTATCTCCCGATTTATATTTGGTTCTCTTGAATCTTCTCATAATCACATATTTTCATGACTTATCACTTATTTGTAGCTTACATTTCATTCTTATATATATATATATATATCACAATAAACCTTGGCTTAATTATTATGTAAATAATATATACTACATGGCTTTTCTTTTATAAGCATAACATTACATAACTTATTTTATGCTTTCCCATTACTATATAATAATATTTTCATAAATCATGTATCACACACCAAGCATATCAACATATAGCACATATAATCATATCAAATCATGCTCATGTTCATGGCTTCATGCATTCTACTATAGGAAATAAACTCATCGCGAGTCATATTTCCATTAACACAAGATACCAAAAGAATACACTCACCTGGCCTCACTAGTCAATATCGATCTCTTATCTATCCCCTCGATCGATCTTACTTGTCAATGGTTCCAGAACTCGTTTAGGCCCTGTATCTACACAATTATATATTTTAAGGCAATTATTAGATACCTACACCTTGTAATTCGATACTAACAGCTTAAACAAACTTAATAAATCAATATTCACATTTTTCCTTTAGGGGGTATCGATACCCTACTGGGGGGAATCGGTACCCTATGACATTATGAAATTTTTCATTCAAGGGGGGTATCGGTACCCCTCTGGAGGGAATTTATACCCCCATGACATTCTGGAATTTCTCGTTTGAGAGGGTATCGGTACCTATATAATGGGTACCGATACCCCTAGCCCAGAAATCATGTTTTGAGCTCGAAAATCACTTCATTTTCAACTCCATACTTCACTTTCTTTAATATGCCTAACTTTCATACACATACTTAAACTCATTTTTACTCCATAATCACTTCTTTAAATTCAAAATTCTATCCTTTACATGGCATTCAAGAATCACACTAAATTTCCAACATGTTCTAAATTTAATTCTAACGCCTCATACTTCTTAATTAGCTTGATGACAAGTCAAATCCAACTTCTAATTCTTATTATAAACTCTATTTCAAGATTTCATTTCATGGTTCCTAACCTTTAATCTCCCCTAACTTCATCATTCATTGATTTTAAGATAACTTAAGCTTTCCTTAAGCTTAGTTATCATTTAATGATCAAAACCCAATCTTAAATTCAGCTAAATATTAACCAACAAGAGATCTTACCTTTGCTTATGGCTTCATGTGAAGAAGAAGAAGAAAGGAGAAGAAGAGAACTCTGGAGAAATCTCTCCTCTTTCACGTGGTTATCTTATCTTATAATGAAAAATAAAAATCTTACTTGTCAAATGACCATTTTACCCTTTAATTCATTCAATAATTACTAAACAACCTTCATAAAATATTTCTAATAAGTCATTGAACTATTCAATTATCCTACTTTAATCACCAATTTCTGAAATTTTTTAATCTAGTCTCTAACTCGGTGTTGAGGATGTTACACTCAAAGACCCTTGTGAGGTCCCTAAACATGCTTAAAGTCTTATGTGTCATAAAAAGGGTATAAATAAGGCTTGTATCATGCTTAAAATTCCAAAACATAAAATCTACAATTGATATGCTCAATAAGCTTATTTATTACCTTCATGATATTCATTACATTAACACGACCCAGTAAGAGTATAATGAAGTTGTAAGTGTGGATACCTTGATTTCTAGGCTAAAACAAAGCTCCAACTCACTCAATGGAAGCTTTTTCCTTCCACTTTGTCTTGAAGGCTTCACCCACTTCTTTCACTAATCAAGATAAGAAAGAGAAGTTTCTAAATAATCTATGTAATGAAAATAAGAATTAGAATGCTTTCAATAACCTAAATCCAACAAAAACAACCTAGAATCCTTGGATTTATTAAACCTCCCAAAATACTCATTTTGGAAACCATAGAGGAAAACTTGCAAAATGGGGCTTAAATTAAAGCTTAAAGGATGGTGATTCATAATCTTACATAGGCTCAAGCTAAATAAAATTGGATTGCTTGAAGATTGGCTCTTGAAAAGAAAAAAAATGGAAAATGCTAGAAGGAAGAAGGAAGAAGGAGAAGAGTATTTGGTAAGATTATTGAGGCTTTGATTCATATGAGAAATATAAAAACAAGGGGAAGATTTTCAGCTGAAATAAAATGGGTAAACTACACTTTAGGTCCCTATACTTTCAAACCCCTATTAATATCATCACCTTACATAAGTCTTTTGGGCCCAACACAGCCCAAATCCACTTAGCCTTGGTCTAAGATATTTTTAATAATTATTTTGGACACTAAAATGGGTCTCGGGTTGATTGAACTATTAACTCGGGTTTCAGGGCGTTACACGATTTATAGATTTTGTAGTCAAGATATGAGATTCCTAATTAAATATTTTATAAATATATTAATAAAAATATTTATTTAATATATATAATCATGTTCGTTTAATATTCGTGAACATGTTAAATGAATTTTATAGTGAACACTATGACTTTGGTTGCTTAGATAAAAAATATATATAACGAATGAAAGAGAAAGTGAAAAAATGAAAATTGAATTTGATTTAGTAGAAAGAAAAAAATACGAGAGGGATAATCATATTTTATCGTCATAAATAAAATCAAATTATCTTAATTTATACTTCAGTGATTAAAGGAATTGTTGTTGTTCATAGAGGTCACAGGTTCGAGCACTAGTGGTTGTAGCAGGGTGATTAAGTATTCATTATCAAATGATTGAGAATATTTAGAACAAATAATAATTTGATTTTAGACCCAAAGAAAGTGATAATAAGAATAAGAATATAGGTAGAACTCAGAGCTTAAAAAGAGACGAGAATACAACAATTATAAACAATTACATTTAATTACTCAAACTTTATATGTATCTAAAACCTGAAATCACATATAGAAGATAAAGCACCTAACAAAATAGCAATAAATTGGTATAAAAGTTTAACATTCAAAGAAGCTTCCTAAAACCCTTCTTTTTTCCAAATAATCAACCATGGATTTTCTTAACCTGCAAAAGAAAAAAAAAAGTTTATATTTTAAGAATCTAAAATAGGATAAGCAAAGCCATGATTGAAGATGAAATTTGTTAAGATAATGATAATACAAACTTACATTTCTTCCTTTGTTTCCAATACCACTCTTTAAGCCCTTGGAGGATTTGTGGGGGAACAAAGTATCGGGTTTCCGATGAATCCAAATCCGGTGGTGATGAGAATTATCCGGCGGAGGAGTTGCAGAGTGTGTCTCCGGACCTCTATAATCGATCTCATAAACTTCATCATCTGAAACCCCAAGCCTTCCTTTAATATATGAAAAATGAATAAATTAATACTTGGAAATTTAAAACAAAAGGAGAATAGAACTATAAAAGTAGAACTTGAAACTTTCCCAACAGACCTGCTGAAAAACAAGGCTTGGAAAGCATGAGAAGAAGCAGCAAAATAATGGAGATGGGTCTCCATTTCATGGCAATTGGCTCCATGGAAATTGGTAGCTTTTGAAGCACCAAAAATATGCTTTTAATTGAGAGGATGCTCAATAGAGAGAAGTATAGGACAGTTAATTATATAAAATCTATTATATTTACTAATTTAAATATTAAAAGCATCACATCTACGCAGCAATAAGTTGTTAAGGATGATGTAGATGTGTTGGGTTAGGACATTTTATGAGACATACCAAAAACATTTTATTTTAATTTTCAAATTAATGTTTGTTCTTTTTTAATTCTTAATTTCTTTATTTTTAATTAAATGAATTTTCTTGTAAGAATTTAATTACATGAATAATGACCATGGGTGGGACAACTCCATGTGTGTATTATTATTGAGATGTCCCAATGAGAGACACGACATGCCATTGATCTCTTGTTGGCTGGATTTCATATTCTTCACACCTAACCTTCCTGTCTTTGTTTCCTTTGCTTAATTATATTTTTACTATAATCTCGGTTAAATTAAAATAAGATTTGATTGTTTGACAAAATAAGTATTAAAATCTCCACAAAAATTGTTGAATCTGAATTATTAATTTTAAATTGTTTATATTATCTTCTTAAAACTGAGGTGAAATTGGTGAAATCCCTCGGATTTTCTTATAAAAATATTAATGTTTATTATATTTCCTCTCCAATGCAATTATTATCTTCTACAATTATAATTTTCTTTATAGAAATAATTAGTTTTGTTAAAAATTGAAAAATATTTAAAATTAGAGTAAAAAATATATAATTATAATACTAAACTAAACATGTAATTAAAACTTTTTCCCTATAAAACAGTACACAAAACATTATTCACTTAAATCATATTATGATCCTACAAGGAAAATGTTAAAAACTCAATCAAGAAACTTTAATAAAAGATATATATGAATAGATCTGATTGCATCGGCAAACGAATTGCCCAAAGAAAATTAACCATTAAAAGGCCACTGACAAAACTACAAATCAGAAACGAGCGACATGAGAAAAATATCCACGAATGCAAATCACATATCCAGATTCAATCTAAGGGTCTAAAGCAGAGAAGATCAATAATGATATATATAAGTGCCATCTACATCTGTTGAGACAAATGTCAAATTCAACCTTAAAAAGTATATAAATAAAAAAGATTGATCAAACAACCGAGAACGTCCCAAAAGATAGAGAAAGACAAAGTTATTAAAAACTAAAAAAAAAAAAATGTGATATGAAAAGATAAAAAAAATAATGAACACAGACGATCGACGACCAACATTACAACTAATGTTGTTGCATGAAAAGCAGAGATGAATAAAATCTTCTTCAGTTATAATTTAAGACTCGTTTCAAAATGTCATTTGTATTCAGTGGCAGATGTATGCAGGAGCAATTACATACTCATTATTTTAAGAAAATTATTAAATTTAATTTAATATATTTTGGAGAAAGAAAAAAATAAAGAAATTTGCATACTCAAATTCTCTGAAAATTAGAATATTAACATTTTGGATCCCCATTTTTTAACTTTTAGATCCGCCATTGTTTGTATTTTTTTCATACTGTGATATATATTTAATATTCTTTCACAAAATTCAACCATGATATTTTTGTTATTTGTTCTGATATTAGTATGGATATTATTTTCCTCTATTTAGGTTTAGGAAAATTTTTAACGAGGCTCGTACTAATATTTCCCCATGTATGATTTTGCATTAATAAAATCATACCTTTCACCAAAATTATATTGATCTACAAAATTAATGACATTCAATCATTTATATTGCATTTTCATTTATTTTTAAGGGTAAACTACATGATTTATCACTTTCATCATTGTTCTACACACTTTTTCTCATTAAATTAAAAAAAATACAATATTTACTCATTTTTATTTTTATTTAATTAAGATGTGATCACTTTTATATAATATACTCACTAATAACAGTCAAGAGTTTTGTAACTAATCATTTAAAAGTTGATAAGTAAGTGATCACATCTTAATTAAATAAAAAGGAACATAATCCCTTCTTAATGAAATAAAAACAAAAGTGATCAAATATTATATTTTTTGAATTCGAAAAAGTGCAAACAAAATTGAACAAAAGTGACAAATCTTGTAGTTTATCCTATTTTAAATATTATTATTTTTATATTATAATTAATTTATCAAAATTAATATTGAAATTTCTTTTCTAAAAATATTTATTTTTAGTATTATCATTTCTATTATAATTGTTTCATAAAACTCGAAGATAATATCATTTAATAGATTTCCTTAGGTTTATAGCTATATATTAACATTTGTTTATGAAGAAAAATATGAATTTGTTTACTATCATTTTGCGCTTATCGATTTTATAGAATTATTTTTGAATCATATCAATTCCAATTGATTTGAGATGGAAAATTATGACTTGTGAAAGGTTAGACTACGTTGGATTTCATCAAACAATTATTTTAAAAATATATTTTATATTTATATATTTATGAAGAGCCTTTAAAATATTGTCGATCGACATTCCTGTTCATTTCCCTTTTTTTATATAAATTATAAATCTAATCTTAATCAAGATTAATATTTAAGATAAATATTGGTTTTAAGATTTCATGTTTGAATTATTTTATTGTTAAATTAGTTGAAGTTTGATTTAGTTTTGAGTTAGAAATATCTTAATTTTTTACATTTGAGTCATCTTAAATTAAGTTTGGTGGATTGGAATTATCATAATTAAATGGAGTTAATTTACATTTGACTTGGTAAAAAGAAGAAGAAGAAAGAGAGAGAGAGATTTAATTCAGATGAGAAAGGGAATATGGTTGTAAATGGTCCCAGATTGAAGATAACATGTTGAGATGGTTATCCTAGAATGAATGAGGTCGGGTCGTGATGTCAAACAGCTATGCCATGGCTGGACCTTGATGCCAAATGCATGCTTACTATGATGTAATAGTTACCTGCACGCTTTAAAGACGTTGGATCCTTTTCTTCAATGCCAAATCCTTGAGATACAAACTCCAAATCCCAAATTCTAGTGCTTACATTATATAAATTAATTATAAAATATGTAATTTGACTGTTAAAAACAAGAATTCAAGTACATAGAGATTCTACTGTGGTAAATGAACATGCGGTTTAAATTTCATAAAAAAATAGACTTAAAACAAATTATGAATCGAAGAAACAAAAAATAATCATATAAAATTGAGAGACTAAATTATAAAAAAAAGAAGTTTATTGTTAAAAAGAGAAATTAAAGTTGTATACGTATTCTACAGTGGTTTAAGGACATACTCAAACTTAGTGAAAAATGAACTTAAAACGAAAGAGGAATGGAAAAATACGAGGAAATCGAGGACCAAATCACCGAACAACCAATATTTTTAAATTTCTCAAACTTTACAAATTCAAAATACAACTCAACTCAAAATTCAAATTGGCTCGAATAACTCAAACAATACAGATAATTCGAAACTTGAAATAAAAAAATAATTCTTTTCACAAGTCATAATTGAAAAAACCATGGAAATGCCAATGAAACATTGATGAAATAAACTCCAAACTGGCAGAGTTAACAGCAAAACATTGTAAAGCTTCCATTAGCAACTACCTGTTTTTCTAATTTGTAATAAAAAAGTGTAGTCAAATTTAAATATGTAAATGACATACGTAAATGTTCTGTAATGATGTTTCTTTCATTGTGGTATGACAGCAAATAGAAACAACAGCATGTTCTTAACTAACGAAACACACGCGCACACACACACACAGCAACCTTAAACACCAATGGTCCCATTTTCCTTCTCATTTGAATCATCCATAGGCATAGAAGTTGGAGCTTGAAACCCTGATGTGAAGATGCCTACCTGCAAAATGAAAGAACACTTTATAGACAAAAGACATGAGTTACGATAACACCGAATACAATCAGTCGACATCGATATTCAATGGTCAAACTATGCTGCAGTTTTGGTACTTGAACAAAGTTCAAGATGACAAGATTCAGTACATGCAAATCATGATTAAAGATGAGTAATTGAACGTCCAAAATACCAGAACCAAGGCAACTATACAAGTCATTTTGCTACCATACACAATGTCATGTTTCTATATTGAATATGAATCTGAAATTCTTATCAGAACCAAAGTCCATTTTCCCGGTTACAGTGTTTTACAATTAACTCAAACTACAGAAAAAGCTTCCACCTTTCCTACGTGGTCCTAGTCGATTTATCGAACCGACTGAAACCATTCACAATACCTGTTCTGTTTCATAATCATGATAACCTTAACCAGTCCCAATACATTTAATCATTCCACATTCATCTCGTTACTCCGTCGTTCTAAAAATCACACTCCTAAAGTTAATCATACCATATTGAACATACAAGACGCCGTAAAAGCTTCCTTCAAAAAGCACCTTAGTCTGACTAGATAAAAACATTATCCCGCATGGTCAAAAAAACTAATGTGACTGCTTCAAAACTAATTATTCACTAATAATTGAAAGCTAACAAAGATATTTTGAAGTAAAAGGCCTCCCTTTTAATGAAAAGACCAATACTTGGTGGTTGGTACTCGTTCAAATTTCAAAGAAAATTCGTTGGATTACCATTCAATCAAAAATAAGGATCATCACTCATTAAGGCTTTTGCTTGGTAAAGTGGAAAGGATGATAAGATGAAAAGTTGAAATAGGGGAAATATTTGAAGAAAAAAAAGACGATTTACATTCGATAGAGTGGAAAATCGAAAGGAAGGAAGATGAAAACTTAAAAAAAAATGCATAATCTTGTAAAGTGCACATTTAACTTCGATATTTTGTTTGTGTATTAACTCAGGGTGTCCCCAAGCCACATTGGACTTGAAAGTAGAAAACTAATCCCAGTCAAGCCGAGAGTTGAAGGTAAAGCACTCCCAACAAGTGCACTTCAAAGGATTAGAACTTGTTTCCTCATCCTTAGGGGGGTTGAGGCTGTTACCACTTCAAGTAACAGCTTGCTGGTTCTTTCCTCTTCATCATTACAACTTAGAATGAATTGCTTTTTATGCATTACAAGGAAAAATAGTCATCGTTTTATTTTCTTTCCTCTCTCTTTCCCTTCCCACCAAGCACATTTAGAATTTATTTTCTTTCCAAGTTTTTACTCTTATCTTTCTGTCCTTTCCACTTTTTCACTCAACCAAACACACCCTAAGATACAATGATAATTGATAAATGAACTTAAAAGGATGGAACAACATCAGAGGCAAAATCTACTGATCTATTACGAAATGGTTTGATTTTCACGACAAGAAGTTTCCAAGAATCACAGAAGTGGGATTTTTAAACTCCACTTTTCTATTATTTTGAGGAAGGGAATATATTCTAAATGACACAAAGGAATAAATTACTTTTTCATCCAGGATCAAACAAAAAGTGCTTAAACCATGAATCTGAAACTTAGCTCAATTAGTTCATACAACTGCCCTTAAGACTACGTTCAATAAGTTCAAAATTCGAATACCAACATAGAAGACGCTTCCCTTATCTATTTGTACCAAAAAACTAAAAGGTGCTTGATCCATGAATCCCAGGGCACTTCATACAAACAACCTTAGAATGTGACATCTAATGACTCCAGAATTCGAACCCCAACATCTGTAATCTATTAGTACAAAAAAGAAAAAGTGTTTGATCCATATTATAATTGAATGCCTAAAAGATTCAAGGAAAATTCCACATATAAATAAAGAGCTTGAACATAAAACTGAAAAGAATGACAAAATTGTTCCATACCCAATGCATTGCTATTCAATCAGCTGCTCTTTGTAGCCATGGCTTTTCTGGCAGCCATATTTTTCCTGGCGGCCCTTGCATTATCATACTCAAACTTCAACACATCTGATATATGAGAAGTATCCTTGGCATAAAAGAACCTCCCAAAGGGACTCTCTTCAATCAAAGGGAAATAACGGAAGAGCTTGGAATTCACCAGCCAAAACCAAACCCCACCGAGAAAAATCCCCAATGAAGCTCCGGCAAAGACCTGGGCCACCGTATGGTAACCCAAATAAACCCTAGAATACATGGTCAAAACAGCCAAAGACCAGGGCAAAAACAAAGCGGCCCACTTGGTTCTAACATTCCAAATCCCACCAATCCCTTTGCAAGTCAAGAGAGTGAAGTAAACGGTGAAAAAGAACATGTATTGGGAGTGGCTCGAAGGCCAACCGTGAGAATCACACATTTCTAAAAGAACACACGTTTCGGGCCGGGCTTGTTGAACGGATTTTTTTATGAGTTCGCTGATGAACTGAGATATTACTAGGCCTAGTGCAAAGAACATCACTTGAAGCTCTCTGCGGAAAATGAAATGAGAGACGAAGCCACCGAGGGAAATGAAAACGGGAACCAAAGAAACCCAGGCTAGGAAATGGCCTAGTTGGTCACCTCTTTGGTACCTTACGTGAGTTAAACTCACGGCTTTTAGTGCATTGTATGCTGTCATGGTGGAGATTTTGATCTGGGTTTTTTGAATTGTTAGTTTAAAGAGGATCTCAGTTTGGGATAGTCAGATTTGAAACGGGTGTGTTTTTAGTGTTTGTTTAGGGGAAACTGCTGAGAAAGTAACGCAGGATAGGTGTAAACTCCGAGGAAGTGACTGGAAATGAACACCCACTGAGCTGGCTACACGTGGGAATAAAGGAACTCACAAAAATTATAATTTTTTTTATTTTATGATCAAATAAATATATAAATTAATACTCCCTGTTTGTATCTTATATTGACTAGTTTTAGGAGGCATACTTAATTGAGGAAAATAATAAAAAAAAAAGGTTAATTGATAAGTTTGATAGATTTGTTTTACTAGGGGTAAAACAATTTAACATACAAGGATAAAATATATATATAAATGTTGTTATTTACTAATTTTTCTAACAAAATATTTTGAATAAAATAACTTAAAAATCAAAATAAAGGTCTTATTTTGACTTAATTATTCATTTACCCCTAAATTTGATACATTCTTTTAATTTTGTATCCTAATTTGATGATTTTTACTGAAGCATCATGTGAAAAATGTCTTTGAAATGATGTCTTTTGCATACGACGACAATAATATTGATATATGTTAACTAAAATGAAAGAAAGAAATCCCCTCGCGAGGGAACATGCGCTAATGATTTAACTAAACTGACTGTTCGCTCAGATTATCAACCGACCACCTTTCAAGATCCCCTGCTGAGGTTGTTGCGCTTCTTCACGGAGACACTGTTGGCCCAGAGGCAGACCAGAATAAAAATTCAGGGATTACACAAAAAAATTCTTATAAATTTTTTTAGGGGTTGCATAATATTAAAGGTGACATTTGTATTAATTAAAAAAATTAGAAAAAATTAACACTAAGTAGATAATTTTGTTGTATAAATTTTTTTTTCTATAAGAATTTATCTGAAATATAGGGATTCTATCTAAAAATCACAAAATATATATATAAAAATACTAAAATAATATCATTTGATCAATGTTCCTCACAATTTGAGGAGTTGTCCGGGCTACCCCTGACAACCCCTGGATCCGCCCCTAATTGGCCCTCCCTACAAGCGTCCTGTAGCTAGATAGTAAAGGCCTTTGCCTTCTTTATATTCAATTTTTTTTTTTGAAAGAAATAAATAAGAGGCTAAAACTATGAGAGTTTTATCCACACAAAAAAAATACACGCGTGCATGTTAAAGACATATATTTGCACGAGCACGAGTCAAGTGATGAGATGGTGTGCGTATATTAATGTAATCCTTAATTGTTTAATAAATATATGTTTAAAATGATATATTTACGTAATTTTCAATTGCTTAATAAATATATGTTTTAAATGTTATATTTGAACACTTAAAAAGACACATACCTTCATAATGTGACATTTGAGGAGTTTTATGGTTAAACATGATAATTTTTTAGCGAAAAATACATATCCTGAACTTAATCAAACCCATGTCAATATCACAGTCAAATATAGTTTTTGACACTGGATTTCGAATATTTTAAAAGACAACAACTGACAGAGTTTAGAACACGGTCAGATCGAACTTGTGACATATCTTTAACATCTCAAAATTAACATATTTAGCTATGAGTTTCTCAAATCTCGTAATAAAACCAAATATCATGTACCTAGATGCATCTAATAAAAAACTTAGATACCTAATTACACCAAGAAAAGTTTAGTACTTAATTACAACTTCAAAAATATTAGGTATCTCAATGCAACATTAAAAAGGGTTAAGTATATATATAATTGAACCAAAAATAGAAGTTTAGTATCACATTGTACATAGATGGCAAAGTTATGTATAAAAAAATTATATTGACCTTATAGTTATCTAAATATTTATATATTTATAATCCAAAAGTCGTGAAAAGAATACAAGAATATTCATCTTAATGGGATTTTGGCAAATCTAACGAGTTAAATATTGATGAATATAAAAAGAAAATACATTGTATATATCTTATATTAATTTTACTGTAAATACATATGTTTAAGAAATCGTATTTATTTTTCTTATAACTAATTTTGTGTTGAAAATGCTTGATTTAAAGACGGATAGCAAATACCAACAGTGATAACTGTGATTTAGGAATGTATTATTAGCCTATTAGCCATTGGCTATTGAATTTAAAAAAAAAATTGGATTAACCTATACTATCAACTCTCCTTCACCTTCACCTTTATGTGATAAGTTAATTGTTTTATAACTGGTTTAGAGTAAAGGTGGAAGAAAAAAATAAAGTGTTTTTCTTAGTAAAACTTAATATTTTTTTAAAATTACATGTTTAATACTTGTAATTTTAACACATTTGTTGATTTTTTAACATATATTATCTCTTAAACTAAGTTACATTAAAATAATTAGTATGAACCAATCAGAATTGAACATTTATAATTAAGAAAAAGTTAGGTACCTAATTTCATCTAAGAGAAAAACTTAAATATCTAGCTCCACCAAAAAGTTAGATACCTAATTGAATCTTAAGAAAAAGAATTAGGCACTTATTTGCGATAATAAAAAAATATTAGATATATAATTGTAAAAAATAAAAGTAGAATACCACATCGCAAATAAATTCCAAAGTTGGGTACGAAAAACTATGTTTACCTAAAATTTATTTAAATATTTATATATTAATAATATTAACATTATAAATGATACAAATTGAGTTAAAAAGGTCTCTATTATAACATTTCTCTATAATACTTGAATTTAAATTAATTGAATTAATGAATCATATATTAAAAAAATTAGGCACTTATTTGCGATAATAAAAAAAATATTAGATATATAATTGTAAAAAAATAAAAGTAGAATACCACATTGCAAATAAATTCCAAAGTTGGGTACGAAAAACTATGTTTACCTAAAATTTATTTAAATATTTATATATTAATGATATTAACATTATAAATTATACAAATTGAGTTATAAAGATCTCTATTTTAACATTTCTCTATAATACTTGAATTTAAATTAATTGAATTAATGAATCATATATTAATAGTTATAAGAAATATATCATTACATGTATGGTATAATATATTTTTTTTGTAAAAAGGTATAGTATTAATTTCAATATAAATACACATGTTTCAAAATTTTAATTTATCTTTCTTATAATTAATTTTGTACTAATGCCTGATTTAGAGACGGTTTTGCAAAGATTAATAATTGTGATTTATTTATTTTTGATAGAAAGCCGCTAGTTTTATTAAAAATATAAAATATATAGAATTACAATGAAAATTTACAAGCATAACCGTAAACATAAACTAAATTATAATTAGTACATTTTCTTATAATCATTGACACAAAAACTAGCCACCTAGATCACACAATGACCAAAAAAAAGAAAATATTAAAAAATATAACCAATGCTCGAACAAAATAAAGATATGATCAAATCTAACTGCATCGGCAAACGAATCACCAAAGATGATGAAGTTATTGAAGACCACTGACAAATCGTAAATCAAAGTCAAGCGACGTGAGAAAATTATCCAAAACACGTATCCAAATGATCGATTCGAGGATCCAGAGCAGGGAAGATCAACATGATAACAAATAAGCATCATCTTGATAAGTCGTAGCGATGTCAAATCCAACCCTGAGATAAAAGATAAAAAAGATAAATGAAAACAACGGTAAAAATACCGTAAGCTACCAAAAGACATAGAAAAGCTTGCCACTAAGGCTGAGATAAACGTGTCATAAAGGCAAAGAACATATCATAAATATATAAATATTCTTATTAAAAAACTTAAAAAACAAAGAAAAAATACGATCGACAGGTGGCAACCATCATCAAAACCGGTGTTGTCACCGATTAAACAAAATTAAAGAAGAAAAAATTGGATTGGTCAATAAAATTGACACAAGTTGTGAAAAGGAAAAAAGGGAAAAGAAAAAAAAGTAGGAAGAAAGCAACTAGGGTTTTTTCCTCTTCTAATAATAATTGTGATTTAGGAATGTATTAGGTACTGGCTATTGGATTTAAAAAATTTAATTGGGTTAACCTAACTCCTATCAATAGGATCAATTAAAAGTTTTCCCCTTAATAAAATAGAGTTCTTTTTTCTCCTTTCACCATTACTTTATTGTGATAAATCAATCTTTTTAGAATTCATTTATTGGATATTAATTATGAGGTGTTGTTTTATAGATTTATATTGAGTTCGAATTAGTTTAAATATTATATTAATCTTATTTTTCATGTGCTTATAATTATACATTTTCCTATATATTTTTAATTTGTAATCTGCACACAATAATAAAGTTGTTACATATGTTATAATGTGAAAAATTCAATACGTTTGTAATGTTTATATTATGGGTATGTTTGTTTGCCGTAAATTATTATTTAAGGAATTTTATTATTTCTCCTTCAAGTTCGTTTTTTTTTACCTTTTTTGTATGCAATCTCTCTTATTTTCTTTTTTTTTATGGCTTTTTATCCCTTAAATTCATTTCCTTTTTCTATGTTTGCAGTTTCTTTAACATACTTCTATATGATACCCACGCATATATATATTATGTATTGCATGTTGATATTGTAGTGGAAATTTACACTTTTTTAACACAAAAAATAGTAAAAGTTGTATGGGTTACGAGTCATTAGACATATTTTGCATTATTATTTGACGATAATGGATGATCCTTGTACTTTTAACGATCATATCATTTTATAAGCTGAGATTAAAGGTTGTTTGCCAATTTTTAGGCCTTATGTTATTAGGTTAAATTTTTAGTTTATAAGATCAAATGTTGAAAGTAGGCGTTGTATTTAACTATAGAATGATTTTTCATAACTTTGCTGAAGATCAAGAGTTTGTTAATTTATTGATGATTGCTAAATAAATTGTTGGCTAGAGTGAGGATTATGCATTGTCTGGTAAATGTATTGATGATTGTTGAAGATCAAGAGTCGTTTGATCTATTGATGATTGCTTGTAAATGTATTCTCTTTATTACGATATGTTTAATTTGGCTGGTGCTCGATCTAGGGACTGTAAATTCTGAAAATGTTCACGAAGC